GTGGACGTGAGCACAGCGAGGCGGTGCGTGGTGCACTTCAGCAGGGGCGACAGTGACAGAGGGTCACCTCCGCTGGTGCAGATGTTTACAAGTGCAGCAGCACGCAGGCTCTTGTTCACTGGTGGCCAAAACGCAAAGCTCATGGCAGTGGCTATGCTGGAAAAGAGGGTTTGGTCACTGCAAAGTTGCTGCGTCAAACAGCGTGTTGCTGCGTTCCTTGTATCTGTCGTAGTTTCCACAGAAATAAACAGGCAGCATTTCTTTCAGAGTGACCTACATATAACATACAACACTGGTACATAATATCACTGCTTCCTAGTAAAATATTCTTTTAGAGCAAACATAATTTATCTAAGCAACCGTTTGAAAATGAAAACAAACATTTAAAGTGAAAGGCATGCAATTCATCTTTACCCAGCTTTGTACTGACTTATGATAATGTAATTCTGATAAAAATAATTGCAGTCCTAAATTAGAACAAACTGTTTTTTAAAGGTAAGCTTTTTTATTTCACGTAACTCTTTAGTTGAAATTTAAAATCTGGCCTTAAAGAAAATCAGTGCTGAAAGAAACATAGCATTCATGCAAAATGTACAATTACCATGAATTGAAGAGTGTACAAGCTGAAAAGCTGCATGGGCGGACATCGGAAGTGTGAGCTTCCAGGTTTAGGTACGATAGAGATTGTACATTGGCCCTAGACCACAGCATGTTCAGATAATTAATCCTCAGTGCAGCCAATCATCATTCTTTGTCCTGAACAGATATCCAACGGAATAAGGTTTGTCTCATTCTTCTCACCTTCTTCGCACAACTGGCAACTCTTAAAGATTATTCCTTTAAACAGTGTTGTGCAGAACAATCTAAGCTAGTATGTCATACACAGCTAGATGGTGCTGGCTTCATCTAAGGGGAAACTTGAAAAGAAAAAAATGCCAAGAAGGTAAGAGGCCAAAACTTCAGTGATTTCATTGGAAATGATAGGCAAGCCTATTATTTCCACTGATAAAGCCGAAAGTACACATGAACAACGGCTTTCCAAAGTCAGAAAGCATAAGTATGGAAAAACTCAACTAAATTTCTAACTGACTGTGTCATCTAATGGATCGCTGCTGCACTGATTTCAGTATCTTTCCAACCTTCTGATCAACGCAAGAGTAAACTGACTTTTTAGAGTACGGTGGAATTGGCTTACTTCGAAAAACAAAAAGCAGCATGACTTTTCAGGAAACAATAGATGCATTGCAGATACAAAGTAAGTAATACATTGCAGTCAAGTAGAATAACGTAAAACTGCAATTAATTAAATAACAATTAATTAATACTGGCCTGATCCTATGAATGCAACTTGCTGTACGTAGTACCTCAGAAGTCCTGTGTTTCAATCATTTGTCAAGTTCTTACTTCATGGGTACTTCATTAAAAGCTCTTAATTCAATTTTCACCTGTTTGCTATTTCAACAACTTCACTTTCATGCTGAGACTGCTCATTGAATGCTAAATAAAATCTTCAGCGTAGTAACAGAATGATCTTCTCTAACTAATACTTCCAATAACTCACCTTGAATGGCAGGCCTAGTGTGACTCATTGACATTCCTGGGCCCTTAAATGAGTTGCACTCCACTCTCAGGAGATAAAATAGGAATGTCTTTGTCTGAGCACAACAGATAGATTCACTCATTAGGAATCTTTGCAATATGCCTTACTGTTCCCAAAGCAACTGATTTTACTCTATTTACTACAGAATTCATCAGAGCAGTTTGGTCAAAACTCTCAGAAACTCATACAATAACACCTACAATCAGTTCAGACTCAGCTGCAGAATTATTTTTGGCTTGTAAAGGAGAAAGAGCTAGATTACCAGCCCCTTCGTCCACAGTGACAGCATCTGATAGGCTCCAACAAGACTATCAAATCTGACCTGTTGGATAACCCCCAAATCTAAATTTTTTCAAGCAAACAAATTAGCAAATTTTGTCTGTCTCTAAATTAGGAGGATTCAAATTTCATTGCACAAATCGTTTTCTATGGAAATAACTTGACCTATTTACGTCTCCATTTCTGAATCAGGTTTCTCTTTGGTTGTTGTGATTAAAAAGGAAGGATGGCAACTGTATCAAATTAAAATAAGTTAAACTGTGCACTTTCCCAATTAGGGCTTTTGTGAGACATCTTTCCTTAGGAAGACAGGCTCATCCATCACTCCGAACTGCAAATACATTTAAAAAGCTTCATTCCCTGTCCTAACTTAAAATTACTTATCATGGTTGTGGTAGAGTTGCAAAATGTTGTCTGCTTCTGAGTACAGCCAGGGTGCTTGAATCTACAACAGAACCACTGGTTTTGAAAGGCTGACAAACCCCGAGTGAAATTCCAAAACAACTATCAGCTTCTGAATAACCACATCTCTGAACTGAATTTGAACTGCTAATTAAATATTCTGTTTATTTCTATGCATCAGCTTTACTTCTCAGAACTACCTCTGGAGAAACAAATGAAGTTGAAGTTTTATTCTTAATTTATACAACTAAAATGTTAGTCGTAGTAACATTACATGCTTTTTTAGAAGCCAGAGGAGAAAACTGCCTTCTATTTAAATACACAGTGTTTTTGCATTGTCACAGTGCATTACATGGATTTGATGTTTAACATATAACTGTACTAACCTTCGTGGCAAACGTAATAACAAAAGAAAGTTGTTTGGAGATTTTTTTTCTATTTTTATTCTAAAAAATAACTAAAACCTTTCCATTGAAGGACCACATGTAAAAACTATGGTTTCTCTCTACGGAGACCGAGGCTGCTTATTACCTACAGTATACTAGCTATGATGAACAGACCACCATAGTTGTGACAACTGATGTTGCTGCCTCCAGGGTAAAACAAAGGTTTACATATTACACAAGCAATTTAACTGTTTTCTAAACATATTGCCAAGACAGTGGGAGCTGGCAGCAAGCACTGTGTTTTAGGTTTTGGATACTTGGATTAGAACCGACTGCTGATTATAGACCTTTTTATTTGTCCCCTACGAATTACAAGCAACCTAGTAACCCAGCAAAGAATCCTTCACAGCACTTAAACTTGTCTTCATGGCTTCCCAAAGATTACGTACACAAATCACTCCACAAAAATGGTGCAAGAGACTTGTGCATAGATAACTACATGAGACAATTGTCTTGTTCTAACTTAAAGAGTTCCCCAAAGTGAAATGTTTTATAATCCTTTTTGTGCAGTAGTCAGGAAAGAAATAAAAGAGTTTGGGCAAAGATTATCCACAAGAAAGAAACTTTTTCTTGGGTTCCAGCTGCAACACAATAAAGAACATAATTAACTTCACAATTCTTTGTGTTTTTCATTTGACTGCAGGGAGGAGATGAAAGAGGACTGTTAAGCCTTGCATTCCATCCCAATTACAAGAAAAATGGAAAGCTGTATGTGTCTTATACCACCAACCAAGAACGGTGGGCTATTGGACCTCATGATCACATCCTTAGGGTGGTAGAATACACAGTATCCAGGTATCAGTAGAAGTCTAAAATTCACAAATTCTCTATTTACCAGCAACCTTCCTCATTTCAGTATACCCTGCTTCTAAACTGAACTACCAGATTTACAAAACATATACTTGGGCACTTGCAGAAAATTTATTGCTGATATTTATTTCAAACAGTAGTTTTGGAACCCCCGTCAGTATACTGATTTATTCATTTTAAGCCTCTTTCTTTTTATTTGTTCTGTCATTTTTAAATTATATTTATTTCCTACTTGTGTATGGGAAGCAAAATAATTTTTTGAGAATGCTGGAAAATTGCAATTTCTCAGCAATTATTGTTTGACATTTTTATGCCAAGTTACAACATCTTCATCTTAAAGTATGATTTGAATGACTCACATTTATTTTTAAAATGAAAGCCAATGATAGTGAGCTGTGAAAACTCTTTTCATATTTTTGCACTGCAGGAAAAATCCACAACAAGTCGATATAAGAACAGCAAGAGTGTTTTTAGAAGTAGCAGAACTACATAGAAAACATCTAGGAGGGCAGCTTCTGTTTGGCCCCGACGGCTTCTTATACGTTTTCCTTGGAGATGGCATGATTACTCTCGACGATATGGAAGAAATGGATGGTTTAAGGTACAAAAGCTACCAATGGATAGACTTTGGAGTCACACTCAAAAATGACTTAACAGTGGTCAGCAAAAATCCTACTCATGCTTTCTTAATTATACCACCTCACTATTTTCAGCACCTGAATTAAGCAGTTAATTTTCAGAACAATCTGGGTACTCAGAGGCACATTGTAGGTGCTTGCTATCAAACCCTGTAAATACTGGAGTCCTCAATAGCATATCTAATTCTATTTAAATATAGATTAGACATATTTTTCTCCAGACTATTATTCTACAAACAAATCAGCTTCATTGAGCACATGTTCCAACAGACACATACCAGAGTCAATAACAACACTGTATCACTTAGGAAAACGTCTAGAGAATTTATTTAGCAACAGTGCTTTGGTTCTGCTTACACAGTTTTCACTAACAGCTTTGACCCTGTGTCACTGTGCTACAGAATCACTTGGTTGAGTTGACAGTTACTCTGCCATGAGCAGGGACATCTTTAACAAAATAAGGTTGCCCAAAGCCCCGTCCTATGTTAGAGCTGCAAAATGTTGGCACAAAGTTTGCTTTAATTTAGAGGAAGACTGCTCTTGAGTCTTCATAGACCTAAAAGGAGTTGCTCTACTCAAAGGCCTCTTTGGCTCCATGGAATAACAGGTATTCCTGACCTTTACAGAGAGGATATGCTTAACAAGAGAGCAATGCTTGTGCTTTATTTTAAATTAATATAGAAGATGGGAGAGATTGAAACAGATGCTGTGATACAGAAAGTTGTTTTTGTTACTAAGTTGCTCCTCAGCAAAGTGGTCAGAAGAGTTACACTGTAGCCATAACAGTGAGACATATTAACCAAAATGGGCCCTCGATGAGTTCTGCTATAGTTCTTAAGACTCACCCATGCTGTAAAACCAAACCAGATGTGATTATTCAGTAAAGTAGGTGGTTTCTTTTACTGGCTTGTTGAAGTATTACATGCAAAATACTTTTAAAAACCAATTATTTTATCCTCCAACTTTCTCAGTGATTTTACAGGTTCTGTGTTACGCCTCGATGTAAATACTGACCTGTGCAGTGTCCCTTATTCCATACCACGGAGCAACCCACATTTTAATAGCACAAACCAACCTCCTGAAATTTTTGCACATGGACTCCACAATCCAGGCCGGTAAGCACGTCACAATTACAAATGGAATTAACCCAGAGCAGGTACTGCTTTCAGCCTGTTTTTCAGTTTTCAGAAATGCTGTATTTAATCTGCCAGAAAAATTTGCATAATAAAGGTACTCATGAACTTTTTAACTGCAACTTCTCCATGTGCACATATATGTCACACTTGTAAACAACTGTACATTGACAAAAGCAATGGAGAGAATGCACAGCTCTTGAAAGTCAAGACCGAAATGACAGAAACAAAGTACTGGCACGTTTTGGTTTTTTTCTCCTCTATGTTTCCTTTTTCTATGAAACAAGAGAACTTAAAGCCGAGAGCTGGGAAAACATGGCTGGGATTGGAATCTGAGAAATTAGAACAGTAGAATCTTGACCGAGAAAGAAAAAGGCATGGAAATAAAATTGAGAACATCTGGTGAAATCTAAACAACAACAAGGAGGAAAGCAACACTTTAACTAAACAACACATAATTCAGCAAATTAGGTGGGGGTAGTACTTAAGTGACATTTAAAGGCACCGTTTGATAAAAAAAATGAGAAATTCCAGTTGTTCGGATACGGAGTAAATTCTTGGACTTCTAAGCGGTCAAAAATTTCTCACCTAGCTTGGCTAAAGCAATGTTCATCTCCAGTGATACTGAGCAGAGTACATTCCGTCACTAGGTAAAAGTAGAGATTTGCTCCCCATGGTGCAGGGACGGGAAAGATATTATCTCTCGTGTACAGATCTGACGCACCTCTCAGATGTTTTGGCTCACGAAACGTCCCTCACAGGAGCAGACGCAACAAAGAGTAATCCTTCAAAATGTGATGCTTCATGCTCTTGTTACAGAATTACACATTAAGAGTCTGTATATCTCATGGATTTTCTTCTATTTTTTGTTTTAAGATGTGCTGTGGATCACCATCCTGCAGATGTAAACATCAATTTAACTATACTTTGCTCAGATTCAAACGGAAAGAACAGATCTTCTGCAAGAATCTTACAGATAATAAAGGGTAAAGACTATGGTAAGTTCCATCCAGGGTAAAGCTAACCGAAGTGGGAGGCTGCATCCAGGGTAAAGCTAATTGAAACAGGAGGCTCCTGTGACTATGGAATAAGAAAAGGAAAGCAGAAAACAAAAGATTAAGGATGGTAAAGCCATAATAGGTAACTTACTGCATTGACTGCATTGCAGGTAACCTACAGAAGATGTAACTGAAGTACAAGAAGATTAAAGATGAAAGACAAAACAGTGACTACAAATAAGATTTGGGAAATATGCCAGCTGTCAGTCACTCAAAGATCTCATTATAGTTGAGAATGACAGCTTATAAGGAAAAGATTTTGGAATATCACGAAGTGATGAAAATGTATACTTAGTCATTCACAAATAACCTTGTAAGGTACAGAATGGAAACCTCATGTAATGTGCTTCCTATAATGGAAAAAATGAGAAAGACAACAACAGACTGAAACCAAACAGGGAAATGACTGAGCTCTGTGTTTAAACGTTACTAAAAATGAACAACTTACTTAGAGAAATGCACTATGGTACTACTTCATAATAAAAGATTAGTTCAGATTGCAATAGGATAAACACGCTCAATTAGAAACTTAAAATTTTAGAGTGTTTTATGTGCTCTCTGAATCAGTATGACTGCCTCGCACAACTTGAATGTTTAACTCTGATACCAAGATCATTTGCTAGGTCAGGTGAGCCAGAAGAGTTAATCTGACGTATCATCTGTCTTGTTTAACCATTTAGCAGTTCCTAATTTGTGGTGGTAAAGGTGATAAATTTTAAGCGTGTACAGGCATCAAGAACCGACCTATTTCCTGGAACAGAACTTTTTCAAGTTTTATTCACCTCCCCAGTAAAACAGTTGTGCTGACTAGTATCATAGTCCCAATGTGTAATGCAATTGTTTCACTTCAGTTACTGCATGTATTTTCTGTGTGCATTTTATGAAAGCCAAACCAAAGAGCAGTATTTGGTAAACCACGGCTCCAATGGAATTTTGACTGCATCTTTATTGCAGAGTAAACTAAGCAATATTGTGTCTATCCACAACATCTTGCCTATTTTAATACGAGGCTGTGGGTCCACTGCTTAAATAAAAAATGCTCACCATCCTTTTGTCCAACACAGAATTTCAGCTCTTACTCTTGTAGAACAATCTAGGAAATTCCTTTTTCAAAGACCTGCAGAGAGCACTTCAACTAAAAACAAAGTTCCTCTGAAACAAAAAGTTCTGTCAGCTGTGGCTTAATTTAAAATTACGCAGTTGGCATTTCAATTCGAGCCTACATTTACCTTAAGCAATATTGCATAGGCACATTTACATTGAAAGGTTATCCAAGATATTACCTCATGTGACTAAATTGCAGCTTTGTAAAAAAAAAAAAAAAAAAAAAAAAAGAGAGAAAAAAGTGTAGGCACTACAACTATAATAGCAGCGCAAAAAATTACCATAAAAAGCTACATCCAGCAATATTACTGTTTTATGGCACACAACACACATAATGTATTCAAATGTGATTTCAAAGAGTTTCTTAAACCACTGAATGGCTTTGAAAACAAGTTCTGCTGAAAATCACTGGAATTTGGAATTTGTGCTCTTGGGTTCTGGTGAAGCATAAGCCCCCTTTTCAGTGAAGGGAGTTTAATTGTGTTCCTGAAGTTCAAGAGATCTATTCTGTAGACTGTATGGACACATAAAAGTTAATAGCAGTAATCACATTAACTTAAATGGAAGTCTGACCTAATCCCGGTATAGTTTTATTCTCTTGGCCTGTGCACATGGAAGAAGGTAATTATAGTGTCTCCTACCTAAATTCCTCATTAACTGTTTCACAAACAGCTTTCGTTGCAATTTTCTGATCTTCCTAATGCTTCATTTCCAGCTATACATCTTGCATTTTCAGGATCATTTAAAGGGAATTAATTTCATTCTGAAAGTAATAATCCTATTCATAAATGTGAATCAAAACATGAAACTGCATATGATCTAAAACTACGGTAGTTCCTTTTTAGAAAGTGAGCCTTCACTTTTAGAATTCAAACCATTCAGCAGTGGAGCCCTGGTCGGCGGATTTGTCTATCGAGGTTGCCAGTCTGAAAGGCTCTATGGAAGTTACGTATTTGGAGACCGCAATGGGTAAGTTTCTTATAATTTCAGCCTTAAACATAATATATTCACGAGGTATATTTTGTTGTGAGCTTCCTGCATGAAACAACAGCAACAGACTTTTTAATACTGTGTCACTTTGCCAAAGTAGCAGCGCGATGATGTAGATTAAATTCTAGATTCGGAATCAAGCAGCACGATATTCTAATGAAGGGTAACATAAGTAACATTTCTAATCCTTGGAATAATATACAGACAAAGAAACTACACACTTTACATTCATCCTTTATAGTGCAAGTAAATGGTAATCGTGGAATAGTTTGGCAAACTGATCTAACTGATGAGATAAGGCAAACTTTCTGGGTTTTATGGCAACATTGAGGGAGCAAAATGAATGCTTTTTAATTGCAAGAGTACAGTTTTCCCATGCCAAATAGGTCAGCATTCACAAATGACTAGATACAGTGCAGCAAAACCTAATCTTGTGATGTTTGAATGACAGGAAGGGAAACGCTACGCTTTTTAGGCACCTGAAAAATAACAGGCAGGAAATAAGATGATGAATTATATAGATCTACCTAAGGAGCTACTTCCTGCACATGCTTACTTATTTATCTGGACAGTGAAAATCCTATACTCAGAACGTAATATAACAATTTGCCTTCTGTGTTTTTGAATACAGAAATTTTTTAACGCTGCAACAGAATCCTGCAACTAAACAGTGGCAAGAGAAACCCCTCTGTCTTGGCAACAGCGGATCATGTAGAGGTTTCTTTTCAGGCCCTGTCTTGGGATTTGGTGAAGATGAACTAGGTAAATAGGAAAAAAAGAAAGGTTTTTAAATTGTAAGTCCTGTAAGTATGCTAGCTAAACCATTTGAAACCATAGTAAACGTTCCAAAAGAAGAAATCTGAAGGCTGGTTTCCCTTTGCCAAAGCTGTCTACACTGCTGTTTCATCCACACCTTACCAGCTGTGTAAGAAGAGCTGTTAAGAGAAAGGGTCAAAGGTTCTTATTTTCTCTCACATTCTGTGAACTCTGCCACTCTCTCTGACACAAGTCATATGCTTGTTTTTATTTCCAGTGTTACAGATGGGCAGAGGAGATCTGCATGAGCAGATGGATCCTCATTTTTAATACATAAGTCCCCCGTCGTATATTTTTTACCAATTACTACAATATGAAAAAAATACGTAATTATTTAAATTTTCAGATAGCAATGATTCTGTAGCGTATTTCAGCTAGATTCTGTAGTGTATTTCACCAAAATATCTTTAACCTCATTGTGTATGTGTAGCTAGATCACAAGTGTTTGACATCTCAAGAAATAAAAACTAATTAATGTATTGATTTCTTTAACAGGCGAGATTTACATATTATCAAACAGTAAAAGTATGACACAGACTCACAATGGAAAACTCTACAAGATCATTGACCCAAAAAGGTGAGCATTGCACTGCACTAGTCCCTAAGATTATTCTCCCCTTCAACAGTTTAAAAAACAAAATAAAAATGTACTTCTTTCCGTGTAGCAGCACTGTACAATACTCACATTAAGTAAGAAGGAATATTTTTAGAGCAGAGGTTTCTTATAAGCAAACGTAACATCACCAGCAAGCAGGATAAATTCACCGAAATAATCACTCTCATAGAAGGTGACTGTCAGAACAGTAGAAGTAGAAATGCCTCTGATTTTTACTCTTTAACATCATGTTAAGTGCTGACAACTTCCCCAATTAAGATTCACATTTTTTGGATATTTTCATAGAAGTTTAGACATATTTAAAATGGAACCATATGGATCAGCACAAGTAAAAGATGCTGCTGATAGTTCTGAAGCCAAAGGACTTGTAGGTGCTACAAAGGTTATACAGTGCCTATGGAAGGCAGAATACTAGAATTCCTCCCAAGGCGACTTGCTGCCTTGCCTGCCCCTGCACTGTGACAGTGCACAAATAGAGGTGGCTCAAAAGGTTAGTACTGATTGACAATATCTGCTCCGTATCCTGGAAAAGTACTGCAGAGATAATTAGCTCAGTCATTTCACCAGCTACTACCCAGACAGTTCCAGTTTCACTTCCTCACAATTTCAGTTTTGCTACCAGATCTGAGGGACAAATTCAGTCTTTCCCAGACATCTCTGCTGTTGTCTAGAAGACGCTACAGACTGAGAAGAATACAGAGGGCCCAGCCCTCAGGGGCTGTAATCTGTTACTGCTTACTAGTTTTCAAGTTCCTTCTGTGTCCCTACATTCACCCATATCTCACTGGGAAGGTTTGGAGCACAAAAGAGAATCCAATGAAAGAAAACTTACATCCCTGGACGATGTGACAAAAACACACTCGAGTCACCAGCATTCGTTTCATCTGCTGTTTCCAAGAGGCTCATGAATCCCACCCAAATTATTTATAAGATTCAAAATTAATGTAATTGGTACAGTTACTTAGTCTAATTCACCAGCTATAAAACTAGAATACACGAAAATTACCAAACCAGAGTTTCTTGGGATGTGATTACTTTCAAGTACTTTGCAAAGCAGCTACAGCTACGAGAATGCCAGGGAATCAGGAAAGATTGCAAAAAGCTAGTCCCCTATGCAGCCCCAGCAGCAATAAGAGAAGGTGACAAGCACTTACTCTGACTGGTGAAAAACCATTTCCTTAGTGATGGATCTTGCTGCTCTGTGACGCCAAGTCCATGGCAGGAAAAGCCACATCCATTCTGCAAAGCATCAAAAATTAACACACAAAATGAAAGGGCCAGCAGAAATCAAGTCTGTCATACTGATTACTTTTAACTCATCATCCCCACAAGAACAACCTAGATTATTATCCATTTATCAGTTCGTCACCTACTTCAGCACGTTTACCCTTGAGCATCACCTACAGGCAGACATCCATTTTTTATTTTGATGTTGACTGTATGAGAGATTCATTTATTTTTTTTGCTGGAATTTAAACTCAAAAAACTGTTATTAAGACAACACGTAAAACTGATAAGAAATTCATGACACTGGGTACACAATGTACTTACTACTTGAGTTTCACTGTTTTTTAATTATGCTACCCAAATCCACGGCACTAGTTCGGAAGCAGATGTTACTGCAGTCTGTCAGTCAAGGCTATTATGGATGTTTTATTTATGCTTTCTGGTATTAAAAATATTTTTTTAGAACAAAACTTGCTATTCTTATTGGGATTGTTTAGACTGATGGTGTACGGTTTTAAGTGAATTTTACACCCTAAATCCACTATTAGTATCTAATTACATGGGGCTGCCTTGTTTGACCTCGGCTTTTTGTTCTCGTTACCTCTTCCAGTAGGGTGGTCTTCAGCTGACATACCTGAAAGGCCAGACCTCCCATTGCTGCACTCACGTTTGGCTGTTTTCACGTATGGAAAACGGTCAAGACTGTGTTTGGTTACTGGTGAAAGTAACCAGAAAACTATAAAATACTTTTGTAAATTGGCATGCGTTTGAGATTAAGCAGACTATGGCAAGGGGATGTAGAGTTTGGTAACGCTTTTTAGAGACATGGACAGTTTCCATTCAAGCAAAGTTTTGAGTTTGGCTGGGTTTTTCTCATTTCATTCCTACTGCTGGTTTTTAAGTGAAAGATGGTCAATTTCTTTCACTCAAGAGCACTGCAGGTCTATTTACCGCATCACACAAATTTCATAATGCACTTCTCAACAATTTAGAAATTCCACGGCTTTGGCAAATGCTTATGTAAAGCCCTATTAATTAATATTAATACATTAATTGTCAACCACAGGTAATATTTTTTGCATATTGCCATTTTGCTGTTCTATTCAATGCCTTCCTCAAGATACATACCATACCAATACATCAAATAAAAGTGCACAGTCTAGCACAGTGAGCTTTCTAAGACACAAAACAAAAGTACTACACGTAGGCTATCAGCTGTAGAGTTACTGAGGTACTGACTTGTCACATCTTAGAAATTCATTGCTTAGAAATCCATAACAAAGCTCTGTGAGGGGTGGCCCCTGGCAGATTAATCCATTTGCAGATAGTGCCTTCCATGTGTGGGGCACTGCAGAAGAGTACAATTATCATTCCTTGCTGGAAATTAAAAACTTCATGCAACAAACCAATCTTCTAGTGGTTGTAAATAAGCTACTACAAGCTTACAAAATTACCCTTTAATTCTAAATAATAGATGTTACAAAGAGATGCAGGATTTTGTTTCATTTGATCTTTATAGAAAAATAGCGCATAAAAAAAACTTCTCAAACATAACTGTGACCCTGACTTCCCGGTCTCAAAGGGCTCAAGAAAGAAATCTATGATTCGGATATCACTAGCAGTAGAAAGCTTTCAAAAGAAGTGAAGTTTTCAAACCATCAGAAGGGCAGAGGATGAGAGTACTCCAAGGAGCTCTTTGCATGAATCTTCAATTATGAGCAGTGAGAAGGTCCAACCCTAAAACCTTTCAGATGTAACAAAAATGAGGGGCTGCACGGAGGCGATACGTGAAAATGAATAAATATGATAAACACAGAGAATGAGAACACCTCCATCAAAGTAGTTTGAAACACAGAATACAGGGTACTACAGGAAACTTCTCTTTACTTCAGGTCAATAACTACACAGCCTCCTGTGAAAAACACAGAACTAAATAATCCCTCTCTCCATAACAGTGTTACTGAAATGACACGCTGATACTCGGGAGCTCTTAGACAATGTAGCGATAAATCAGAAACTGAGAAAATTACAACCTGAATTTAAAAATCAAGCATATGAGGTGCTGCAAAACATATAAATACCACATATCAGCACAACTGAATAGAATGAAGAGTACAGGTAACACCTCATATAGCTTTCCAATTGGAGGGGATAAGGGAAGCCTCAAGAATGACAAACACATAAAATAAGATAAATTGGTTAAAAGAACTGATTTTTTAGTTTCGCAAGTTAAAAACAGCCATTCATTGATGATTATTAAAAAAAATTAAAAAAGGAACATTATGAGAAGTAAGATACTTTCCAAGGCTAGGAACAAATGAGAAAGCAGAGGGAGAAAGAGCAATGGCACATAATTCTCAGATAAAGGACAGTGATAGTCAGATGTTCTAAAAGATCAGTGCAAATTAAAAGCATTCTATAAATTCTCTTTGTGACCAAAAAAAGAAAAACTTCCTAGCCTTATGCTTCTTACAATTTTTCTGTCTGCCTATTTCTACAAGTACATTCTAACAGTAATCACTAGAACTTTCATAGGCAAAATAATTATATAAACGATGATACAGAAAATGCTTTAGCCCAAATATTCAAGTCAGTCAATAACACAGAAAATGGGAGACAAACCTGTTAGAAATGAGAATATAATCCTTTCGTATCATAAGAGGAGAAAATCAGATGCAGGCAGCATTAAAAAATGCGTATTTTAATAGGAAATATCCGTTGATAAGTTTGTATCAGCTACAACATAAACATTACTACAGCTGTTCTATGAAAACCATATGGGGGGGGGGGGAACAAGAAGAAAGAAAGAAAACAAACTGTGTAAGATGGTAGCACAGTCATAGTGTGTCTTTGTGAGTCTTCTTTTAGAGCACTTAAGATTGCTTTTAATAGATAAAAGCAAATACTACATAAAATAGTAAAGGTTCAGAGAAGACAGGAGAAAAGCACAGGGAAAGGTGACAAGGAATGCAAAAGAATTCCATTTTAAAGATGAGACTAAACACGTAGAAGTTTGAAGGATAGTCACGCACTGCTGTTTCCCTCTGAAGTTATGTTTTCAACTGTCTATACCACAACTTCAAAGTTGATAAATAACAGTGTTGAACAGCATGGCTCACGGGAGCTAGCAGACAATTGTTAGAAAGGAAGGTGGAGTTTAAGTGTCCTTGCACATGTAAGAAGAATTCCTCTTCCTCTCCATATGTTTAACACCTTAGAGATCTGGATCTCAATGTGTTTTCTATCAACAGCCAGAATAGCTGCTTTCCACTGGACTGAAACTTGAACTTGATTCAAACCGTCTCATTCCTCTTTCATGCCCCTCCAGAGCGTGTAGTTCTATTCATCATCATTTCCAACACTGCCTTCTGAGATGTCCACTATCAAAGAGTCTTTTCAAACAGAATGATTTCAAACGTTACTGAACTATACCTAGGTTATATCTCATTTTGATGATGTTCAGCCCCTTGACAAGAATGTCAGTGATGTTATTTTTTACCATGAGACAAGAGTGTTTGATTGTAAGGTGTAAAAGCAGTATTCGTGAAAGCCACCTTGAAGACCTTAATTACTCTGAAAAAGGAAGCTCAGAAACATACAGCACTAGAGTGATTTGCATCAACATAGTTCTGATGGGTCATGGTATATACACTTCGTATGGTGTATAAATAGGGTGAAGCTACTACCTCAGGCTGTCTGCAGAATGAGCAAATTTTGTTGGTGAATGCTCTCGC